TGTTGCCTTGGGATAAGAAAGTGGTCTACCTGCTGTATGTGCACTAAAGAATGACCCCAGGAAGTGTCCAGGGACTGTTGGTCATTATTTCTAAAAGTAATTCTACAAAGAATATTCGAGAACTCATTGTGATACCAGCTAAATTGAAAAAGGTGCATCTACACCAAAATAACAAATATGAAAAACCAGTTGTGCATTCACTCTGCATCTCTTTGGGAAAGCTATTATGGTAGCTTGCCAGATTATGACAATATTGATATTAAATTATTTACATGAAACTCAGATTCAATAGAGTTTGGTGGATTTTGCTTTTAATGTTCTGTTTAAACAGTATGTGTTGTTTAAAACAATTGTACTAGAACAATAATAAGGATAAAAGATATCTTCTGTGTTTAAAGAAAATGGACAGGGTCTGGACCATTCCTAAAAGAGTGGAAAGGTTGAAATCAGCCTATCCTGCAGGTATCAACCTGTGCCAGGAAGTCAAGAATACCCCCAGGCCTGTGTGAAACTGACAGTGTCCCATAGACCCTGGTCATCTTCCTCATGATGCTGAGCTAGAGAGGCCCGCAGCCTGAGCCTCCCCTCAGATGAGGATCACCTGGGGACATGGTGGACAGTACCAATGGCATATAATGTGGCAGCTTTAACAGGAATCTGGCCCTGCTCTCTGCGGATGCCCCTAGATGATCCCAATGACACAAACCTTGGGAACACAGCTACTGCCTAGCAGAGACAGTATAAGGACCATGGAACAGCCAAAGAAGCACCCCCACGAAGTATGGTTTCTTTGGAAATTGGCACCCCTGTAAGAATAAGGTCCCACTTGATCTAATCCATGGCTGAGGTACAGTGGGACAGTGACTACAATGGCAAAACTGAAGTAAAGAGAGCCAGCTTAGCAGCAATGAGACTTAGTATGATCTCTCAGTGGTTAAGGGTAGGAAAGGCTATGGTTAATTGCAGCTTACTAGTGAAAAAGGCCCTCCTTGACCATGCAAATGACTATTGTTTCTACTTGTCAAAATCTCAGGAGGGTCACATCCTCACCTGTGCTGCTCAGCAAATCCATGGGAGTGAGGAGTATGCATACTTAAGAAGAACATCTCTGAGCAGGTCCCATGGTAACAGGCTGGAAATATCCATGCCACAAAGTAGCAAGAGTGTCCAGTGATTGCTTGCTGGCCCACACAATCCTCCAGAGACAGATGTTTGTAAAGTACATAGCAGTGACATCACAAGTTTCACTGCATGACAAGTCTTTCAAGGAACAGCTTGACACCAGACAAAGGGGTCCCTTGGCACAGAGCAGTAAAAATGAACCAGGACTACGCATTTCAAGCACATAAGCTCCTGCCAAGTTAAGGCTTTATGATGCTAGGGGTACCTTGGGAGAGCAATTGCTTGAGAGAATGATCAGCTTCTGCTCCTGGGACAAAACAGAAAGTCAGATTTGTATTGATCTGCTAGGGTGTGCTAACGTTCAGTCATTTCCACTGGCCGGGGCCAAGCTTCCAAAACATGCCACTTCTTGTGAAGGACTTGACCACCACCAGGTAGTAACAGTCAACTTGTCTTAGAGGATATTTTTGAATTTTCATTCATCTGGTGTCATCAACCTGTCAACATTTGTCTCAGGGACAATTGTTTTCAAAAGAAGGAGAAAAGTTTTCACACACAAAATTGAGGTGGCCAATTTTGTTCAGGAGCCACTAGGTTAGTCTTTACAATGATCTCATCATCCTGCATGAATGTCCTAGCCTTGTGATAGGACTGAAGAACCTTCAGTGCATGAACTATAGAAAAAGTACCACAGTGGGCTAGAAGAAACATACACCAGCTTTGACGGACAGCAGCCAAGCTAAAACCTATGTCATAGTACCAGAAGGAGCATTTCTGAGCTGATATCACCTGTATGTTCACAGCTGCATAGAACCTAACTGAAGGATTAAGTAGCATAGGGACAGAAAGAGTATAAAGACAGGGATGCCAAGCTTTTTATCCCATCTTAGTCATCCCTCAGATAAATGCAGGCAAAAGTGAAGCCTTAGTGTAGTCAACAAAGTGGCCTTCAGGTTCCCAGAAGTAACCCAGGCCACCATGACCATAACATCTAGAAAAGAGCTGTCCTCTACAGTAAAGCTATTGAGACACTAATAATGTATTGCCCAGATGTGTGACTTCCAAAATGAGTGATTTTTAAATTATCAAAGAGCAAGAGAAGCTAGAGGAATTCTTTTAAATACTTTTGTAACAATTTCCATTCCATGAAAACATTTTACTTCTGTGGTTTGATCAGAGTTTCACAGCTGGTTTATTGAGACATTGCATGTTATAAATTGTTTACTGTGCCCAGGGGCTTATTTTGTCATCCCAGCAGTCTGTCCAAACACTGAGCCATGATAGTTCCTAACTGATTCAAGATGATTTAGTACATGGACAGGGAGGCAGTTTCTCCTCTAGGTCATACTAATTTTCCCAAACCCCAGTATCCCTCAGATAATACTTGTTCAAAAATTCTGCTCCCTGGGGCTGGGGATTTAGCTCAGTGGCATAAGCACCTGCCTTATAAGTGTGCGGTCATGAGTTCGATCCCTGGTACCAATAAAAATGAAAAAGACAAAAAAATGACAAAAATTCTGCTCCCTACTCTGCTTACAAGGCCCCTGGCCTTGCCAAGTGATTTTGGAGCACAAATAGAGCATTTCAGGAACCTGGTAATAACTACACTGATTTTTCTCAGGGACAATTGTTTTCAAGAGAAAGAGAAAGATTTTCACACTGTGTCTTATACATAGTAGATAATGGCAAACCATCGACTCATTTCTGATCTGGGTTTCCTTGTGGACCACTCAGAAATATGCTCAAGGGGCAGAACTTTAAATGCTATAGAAGGTACAGAGTAGTCAATAACACTCGAGGGACCAAGTGGGCAGAGATTTCATGATCAAAGACTCAATTGGAATGCATGTGATGTCTTTCCCACAGACCTATCTGCTGGAGATAGTGGTGGGAAAAATCTCAGGGAGCCTAATGGTTATCAGGGCCCAGGAGGAATCTTGGTGTGAAGGGAATGGGGCACCAAATCCTGTATCTCAGGTAGGTAAAAGGACTACAGGCTGTTTCACTGGAATCCTGTGTGTTCCAGCATGTCAGGTGCTGAGGACTCACCCCTTTCTTCCTGAAAGAGGAGTGTGAGCGCTGTCAGAAGGAGCATCACCTATAGGAGAAAAGCGGCAGGGAGCTTCTGAGCCCAACATTTAGGGCCCACAGATGTGCCCCCTCTAAAACTCTGGGTTTTTCATGTCCTTTGCTATGACAGCCGGTGTCACTGATTCTGCTGAAATATTGTACTGTACTTCTGTTGAGAGACCACTAAAGCCCTTGCCCTGCCTATGCACCCCTCTATTGTGAGAAAGCCTAAGCATGGATGAGAAGGAAGTGCTGCCCAGGACTTTTTAAGGACCTAGCACTGTGACTGGAGTGGAGGACCACAGGGAAATAGATTTTTCACGATACAGTATGCAGCCAAGGTGGGGGGTAATTCCCCATCTTCGTCAGTGCCTCCCATACCTCACTGCCATTCCCAACAGCAGACAAGAAATGCCATACTTCCATACCTGAGGTCTCTTGGGCCAGGTCAGCTTTATGGCCTCTTAGCCTCACTCTGCCCCTGCATGGCACAATGAGTTTGTGCTGCAGGACTCTTGTTTGGTGCTCTGACTCTCAGGGCACAGGGTAACTAGATCTAAACCCGATAACTGTCCTGATGTACTGGGGCTGGGGGACTGAGACAGATTTGGTGTGTGCAGACCTGGAACTCAGGGGAGCTCCCAGAATTTATAGGAATTTCTCCTTGGTTTCCTCATTTGAAAAAAAGCCAGTCACAGAAATATGATTTAAAAAAAAGATTACTGGTAGTTCAGAACTGGCCACAGGTAGTAGGCTGACCAGACAAGACAATGGGGACAGCCACCTACTCTACTCTCGCCAGGGATTCCTTCCAGCAGAGACTGGAAGAAGTGCAATGGAGACAGCCCAACATAGAAGTGAAGCCTGACCCTAGATCCACAGCCCAAAGTACTCTGTAGCTCAGTGCAACCACAGGTTGTGGAACACTGGGCAACACCCCATGACAACATTGTGGACTCAGCCTATGTGGACGGTTCCCATTGTGGGAGACTGGCCAATCAGCAGCAGTGAAAAGTGAGCCTGCTGGATAGCTGATGACTGAGTGGCAAGTGCCTAGGTCTGTCGTGTCCTGTCCCTGGCCAGGTCAAATGCTGAAGGCTGAAAGTATGCAGCTCTGTTTGGTCACAGGAGCTGACAGGCTGGTAGTCCTCTGCTCCCAAACTGTTGCGGAATTTCTGGTCTGTGTTTGTAAGTGATGTCCCTCCAGATGGTAGAGACAGAGTATGTGATCCTGGACTCCCATGTTCACCTCCCTTGCCTACCTTGCAAGGGAGTCTGTTTCCAAAGCCCTACTTCACTCACTACTGTATTTGTCTTTACATCTTTGTTCAGTTCCACTGGTTGGGAACATAGGCCACCCCTTTGAATTATCAACTCCTCCTCTGAGGGAACTCGAAAATCTGGAGCAGGGACTAAAACACTGCTGCTCTGATGGGCTGGCCTGAAAAACTGAGCCTCTCCACCCAGGGTATGGGCATTTGATTAAATTGGGGCCTCGCTACAGGTCACCTGCTTTCCCTGGGCAACATACCTAAGTCTGGGTCCCAGACATATGTGGTGTTCTCTGTCATTGAGGGAACATGGTGGCAAAATCTAAACCTGAAAACTGTCCTTGAGACCCAAGATACAAGACAGGATGTGAGATACAAAAACAGAATTGACATGTGTAGACCAGGGGCTCACATGAGCCTCAACCATGGTGGGCTAAGGCCTTGGTTCCTCATTTGGAAAGAAGCTTTCAATGGCAGTCCTGCTTTTTATCAATAAGAGAAAGGGTGATTTCTGCTCAGCACAAAACCTCATCAGCATTTTTCATGACATGTTTATTCAGGATAGGTAGAAAGCAAAATATTCCAGGTGTTCTCCAACAGCTGGGTACTTAGCAAATTTGAACACCAGTATATATGGAACTCAGGCCCATGCCCCACACATCTCGTGATCTCCTATCAGGGACAGACAGCAAGAGCCAGGCACAGGCTCTCACCCTGGAGTTTTCATGAAATTCCAGGACCCTGAGGAGGACAGAGAAGAAGATAAGTCTTGGATCATGCAGGAGAAGAAGCCACAGGCCGAGGCACTGAAAGGAGGGCAGCAGACACCTCCTTGGCTGACCAGTGGAGGCCAGTAGACTGGGCTCAGGAGGAATTCTGAATACGTTTCTGGATCCAGGGAACATAGGACTGAACGCGAGCAAAGACTCCAGTAATATGCCAGCCACAGGCTCTGCCAAAGCTGACCACTCCCACCAAGGTCCAGGAATCTGAGACATTGCAGACAAGTGGGCCACCATCGTCAACCTAGGGATGAAAGAAAATGAAGAATACTGGCCCTTAAACATGGATATTGTTGGTGGACAGAGATAAGGGTAGATGGGACTCACCTGACAGAAGTCATGGCCCTCACTGCCAGCACACAGCATGTCACCCAGGATGATCCTCTCTTCATTGTAGGGGTACCGAATATTCTGGAATATCTCTTCACAGACAGAGCTCTCAACCACCTTTACTTTCATCTCCTGCAGGCGAAAAGGTGGCAACAGCAAACCTGGGAGAGTAGGAGATGGCAAAATTGCTGGTGGCACAAGCCCCCAACATCCCCAACTGAAACAGGACTATTCCTGGGGGGAACACAGTCTGGCTTAAGATCAAGTGCACACAATCAACAATGTTGATCCTCAACTTTCTCTCCTCCAAGACAGTATAGAGGACCCAAATTTTACTGGCCCCTGACCTGCAAGATCTTGAGCATCTACCTATCGATATATCCAACTGCAGGTAGAAAGACCAGAGATATAAGGGACCTATGTGTGCTATTCTTTCAAAAAAATAAAACCTTTTTTGTACAAATGATTTAAAGACTTCCTGTGCTCAGTCCTAAATTCATGTCTCAGTCTTGCCGTGGCCTCAGCTACTGAGGCTTCTGATGAAACATATAAGAAGTGTCCCCAATACTTACCATAAAAATTCATTTGACCCCATCCAGTCACCCAACACTCATCCTTCTGAGTGACCTCATGATTAAGGAAGGTCAGCTTGATGGGCTTGACATTGGTAGAGCTATTCACAGGTTTTACCAGTTGCAGGAGTGCTACATCTGCACCCAAATAAGCATTAACAAAGTCTGGATGGATAATGATCTTGTTCACACTCAACAGCTTCTGGTCCCCATAGAGGTATATTTCTCCAGCCAGGATGCGGTAGGTTGATGGGTCAGTATTTCGACTGTGGTCAGAGAGAAGCCCCAACAGCAACTCATTATAGGGTCCCCACTGAGCATCATGGGGGAACATTCAGAACATCAGAATGGAACAACTTGGAGTCAGAACTTGCATCTCCAATCCCCAAACCCTCACCCATATCTCTTCCATTCACCCCTCATTGCACCCAGAACTCCACAGCAGGGGAAGTACTCACTTGTCAATGCAGTGGGCAGCAGTCAGTACCCACTGTGGGTGAATGAGGGAGCCACCACATTTGTGCTCCCAGAAAGCCCACTGGTAGTTGTACACCTTCAGGCTGACCTGCCAGGGCCACTTCCCACTTGCAGCATTGTGTCCCCCCACAATGTCCACCAACTCTTTCTTGATGACTGGTGCTAAAAGTAATATGTGGAGCATTAGAAAGTCTGGACGGACAGATGCAATCCTCAACCTGCTGCACACACTCCAGTAGTCAGACACCAGGGATTGCAGAGGCTTACAGGGAAGGGCTTGTGTGGTGTGGGATCAAGACTCACCTTGGGGCTTAGAAGCAGAGCCTCCCACAAGGCAGAGAGTCACAAACAGCAGGCTCAGCATCTGTGGAGGTAAGAGGCATGCAGGTTCTGGGGCTGCCAGATAAGGGATGGAAGAGGACCAGGAGTGCAGTAGGGATAGGACCTTACCATGGCAAGACTCCGCACTCCTCCTCCCTAGGCTTCTTGGCTCTTTATCCAATGCAGCCACAGGAAGTGGGCAGGAGTTTGTCCTGTGTGCTTGACTCATTCAGGGGCATGAGTCTGTGCCATGAAGATCCCCAGCTCTGATAATTCTGCTTTACTACAAGGAGGCTGAACCCTGTGGCTACTCAAAACTGCTTGGATTCCAGTCTTGGACTAAGGGGCACCCAGAAAGTGGCCCTGAGCATCAGGTTGTGGTGGGTGGTGACTGGTGATGCAGACAAAATGTCCTGTGTCATATTCTGTTCCTGGGCACCTAGACCCAACATCATTGGGTGAATTTTAGTGCCATTGGGAAGTCCAAGATACTTGACCCGCAGTGGTGCTCATGAAAGTGTCAGCTGATGTCTGGTAGGACCTACAGCCAGAGTCTGGAGATAAAAGCAGGTCAGCACCACTTTAAGCCCCATCCAACTGTAGATGTCACATTCAGAACCAGCAGAACAAACATTCCACATGGCAGCATATATTCAAAGTATCCAGATCATGGAAGAGCATGTGTCCTCTCTCCCAGAAATGGACTTCTTGGTGCCCTTGAAGACTGCTTAAGCAAGTTTCTGGAAGACTTATCCTCAAGGTCTTGCAGACCACAGAGGTCATTAGGGAACTGACAACACACCTTACTACAGAATTGGCAATCCAAAATTGGGGATAGCCCCCACAGTGCACAGATACCTAGTGCAGACCACTATGACTAGACCACTATGACTGACCTTGGTGAGAACCATAGCATATCTGAGAAACACATGGGTCTTGACAGCCCCAAGGTGCCCCAGATGACTCTCTCTCTCTCTCTCTCTCTCTCTCTCTCTCTCTGTCTGTCTCTGTGTGTGTGTATGTGTGTGTGTGTCTTTCCTCTCTCCCTCTCTCTCTCCCCCTTCCTCTTTCTTTCTGTGCACCCCTGTGTGACCCCCCTTCTTCCCTCCTCCCCCTCCTCTGTAACCCCCTCTCCTCTCTCTCTCTCTCTCTCTCTCTCTCTCTCTCTCTCTCTCTCTCTTCCTCTGTCTTTTTCCATTTCTGCTCAGGGCAGACAATTCTCTTCTGAACAGCATCAGGCTTTCCTTGGGGAATTCCTAGAAGTTCCATTGGCTGGTACCAGTCCTGAGAGATTTCCCACAAGGACAGGGTGGATACCAAGATTCCAGAAGCACCAGTACTAAAATAATTCAGGAGTGTGATACAGCTGTTAGAATGATGTGATACAATGGGGCGGGGGGTTGAGCCCTGTAGCTACCAGTTACTGCTTGGCTCCGATGTTGGAGGAAAAGAGAAAGAGGGCAAGACTATGTCAAGAAAAAACAGGCATGCCTGAGGTGACAGCCAACACCTACAGACAGGAGTAAACAATGGTAAGGGGTAGGAAGGGGATTAGGGATGCACTCTGTATACTTTCATGGTACATCCAATACAGCCTGGTAAGCAACACGAAGGCCATCTTTATGAGACACACGTTCTGTGTGCAGCACTTTGCAGAAATGAATCCCTTATCTGGACAATATCAAGTTGAGGCCCCTCACTGATGATCTTGGATGAAACTGTTAAGCAGCAGTGCCTGTTCACAGGAACTTGGTAGCCCTGATAGGATCTGGACCAAGCCACAATGGGCACATCCAGTGATAGGATCAGAGAGAGCACTTGGACTCATATGCTGAACAGAGACATGCAACTGATAAGATTGGCATCAGCCCCTGATTGATGTGTTTTGATGTTTTTCACTTTGAAATAAAATGGATTTGGAGCCTGGGAACTAGCCAACAATAACATGGCATCTAAGACTTTAACAAAGATGCCTGGATCATGGACACCCTAGGGCAATGGATGTGGCTTCCCAGGGCCAGAGTTGCAATACAGCAAGTACGGAAAGGCTTGGCAGAGGAACTAGTCAAAGACACCAGCATCCCAGTACAGAGTCTGAGAACACCCAAGATTGCTGGAACATAGGGATATGTAGTCTATGGTCTTGTTTCTCCCCTGTCTCCACTGCACCAGAGCTTGTGATGCAGGTGGAACTACATGAGTTGATAATTCTAGACTCCCAAGCTGCTTGTAGTGCTCCTACAAGACCAGAAAAGTCCTTGCTGCCCATGTTGAGAGTCTTGAAGAAGAACCTAGCACTAGTGAAAGGTCAAATAGGCTTGCTCCCTGTTGTCCCTTGTGTTGTGTAGAGATGTCAGTGAATGAGTTTATGGAGATGATGGAGCACCTTCTGTTCCCTCACCCTAGTATCTGAGCTTAGCCTGAGGCAAGTGGCACATAGGCCTGGGAGACAAGGATGAGTAAGTGGGCCTGAGAGAGAGTAGAGTTCCAAATCCTGGAATTCTCAGTTGCTATTGTCTAGGTACCCATTGTAGTGGGTAGGTCCATCTTGTATCATAGGATTTGGCCTAATGGGGAAACAGGAAAAGATGGAGGGTTGGCAATTTTGCTGGCCCCAGCAAAACTGTGCCCACTGCAAAACTGTGTCTGCAACTGTGTGCAGCCTTGAGGGAAATTATGCCCTTCTCTGTCCCTCAGTTTTGTCTTGGACAAAGCAGGGAAGGTAGTGCTGCCTTGGGATAAGAAAGTGATTTATTTGCTGTACTTGCACCGAACCATGCTCCCAGAAGGTGTCCAGGGATTGTTGGTCATTGCTTCCAAAAAGTAAATCTACAAACAATATTTCAAAACTCCTTGTGATACCACCAAAACTGAGAAAGGTGCATCCACACCAAAATAACAAATATGACAAACTAGTTGTGCACTCTGCTCTGCACCTCTTTGGATGAGTTATAATGGTAGATGTGCCTGATTATTAACAAATTTATTGTAAATTATTTGTGTGAAACTCAGCATTCAATAGAGTTTGGTGAATTTCCCTTTTAATTTCCTCTTTAAAAGCATGGGCTGTTTAAAACATTTCTACTAAAACTATAACAAAAACAAAATGCATCTTCTGTGTTTAAAGAAAACGGGCAGGATCTGGGCCTGCCTAAGGGAGAGGCAAGGTTGAAATCAGTCTAGCCTGTAGGCATCATCACCCTGTGCTAGGAAATCAAGGACACCCATAGAACTGTGTGGAGTGTACAGTGTTCTATAAACCCTTTTACTTTCCCCACAAGGCTGAACTGCAGACTGGGCCTCCCCACAGATGAGGATCACCTGGGGACATGGTGGACAGTACCAATGACATATAATGTGGCAGCTTTAACAGGAATCTGGCCCTGCTCTCTGCGGATGCCCCTAGATGATCCCAATGACACAAACCTTGGGAACAAAGCTACTGCCTAGCAGAGACAGTACAAGGACCATGGAACAGCCAAAGAAGCACCCCCACGAAGTATGGTTTCTTTGGAAATCGGCACCCCTGTAAGAATAAGGTCCCACTTGATCTAATCCATGGCTGAGGTACAGTGGGACAGTGACTACAATGGCAAAACTGACGTAAAGAGAGCCAGCTCAGCAGCAATGAGACTTAGTATGATCTCTCAATGGTTAAGGGTAGGAAAGGCTATGGTTAATTGCAGCTTACTAGTGAAAAAGGCCCACCTTGACCATGCAAATGACTATTGTTTCCACTTATCAAGATGTCACATCCTCTCCTGTGCCGCTCAGCAAATCCATGGGAGTGAGGAGTATGCATACTTAAGAACACCTCTGAGCAGGTCCCATGGTAACAGGCTGGAAATATCCATGCTACAAAGTAGCAAGAGTGTCCAGTGGTTGCCAGCTGGCCCACATAGTCCTCCACAGTGCTCTGTTCCACACTGCATTCCTGCAGAGACAAGGTTTGTAAATTGCCTACCAGTGACATTATAAGTTCTCTCCCTTTCGCTACATGACCAGCCTTTCAAGAAACAGCTTGATACTAGACAAAGGGATCCTTTGACATAGAGACAGTAAAAACGAACCAGGGCCACACATTTTAAGCACAGGATCTCCTGCCCAGTTACAGCCTTAAAGTGCTTGGAGTGCCTTGGAAAGGCAATTGCTTGAAGGAATGACCACGCTACTGTACCCAGAACAAAAGAGAAAATCACGTATCTACTGATATGCTAGGGTGGGCAAACATCCAGTCATTCCCACTGGCCAGGAGCAAAATTCCAAAAGATACCTCTTCTTGTGAAGAACTTGACCACCAGGTAGTCACAGTCAACTTGTATTAGAGGATATTTTGAATTTTTATTCATCTGGTGTCATCAACCTGTACAAAGCATCTCAACTTTATACTTGGAGGATTAAGAGGCAGTCAACTTCACTCAAGAGCCACTAGGATACTCTTTACAATGATCTCATCATCCTGCATAATTGTCCTACCTTCTGATAGGACTAAAGAACCGTTAGTGCATGAATTGTAAAAAAAGCACGAGGGTGGGTTAGAAGAAACATATAGGTGTTTGATGGGCAATAGGTCAAGCTAAACCTATATCATATTCTTCAAAGAAACATTTCTTAACTGATTATTTCATGTATGTTCACAGCTGAGTAGAACCTAACTCAAGGATTAACAAAGCAAAATTGGACAGAGAGAATAGGAAGACCGGGATGCCAAGCTCTTCATCTCATCTTAGTCATTCCTCAGATATATGAAAACACAAATGAAAACTCAGTGTTGTCAACAAAAGTGACCTTTAGGTTCTCAGAAATAATCCAGGCCACCATGACCATAACATCTACAAAAGAGCTATTCTCTTCAGCAATTCTATTGAGACACTAATAATATATTGCCCAACTATGTGATCTCCAAAATTAGTGATTTTTAAACTGATGAACAGCAAGTGAAGCTAGACGAATAATTTAAAGGGTTTTTTTTTGTAACGATTTTCCATCCCATGCAAACATGGTTTGAGTAGGGCCTCATGGGAGATTTATTAAAACATGGCATTATGCATAGTTTACTGTGCTCAGGGGCTCATTTTGTCATCCTAGAAGTCAGTCCCAACCCTTAACCACTATAAACCCTAACTGTCTCAAGTTGATTTAGTAAATGGACAGGGAGGCAGTTTCTCCTCTAGGTTATACTAGTTTTCCCATACCCCAGT